TCGAACAAAATCCCCACAGAAAACCAATACTTGATAAGAGAGAATATATTAGTTTATAGATTGCGCAGCAGTTTAGGGTAGCAAATAGTGACTGGATCTGCTTCTGACGAAGTTAAAGTATCGTGGCCAAAGTCAAGGTCTTCCAAAAAAAACTGACCTTCAAGGACCAATCAGATACAGGGGATGCTATGAAATGTCGTTCCAAATTAAATCATGACTGCGTTTCTGGACTTGGAGAAGGCAAATACAGTAATCCCACTTATTCTCTAGGTACTTTTTCTGTAAACCTATTCTGTTAGGTAGAGTTATGACTTTTTAGATTATGGTCTAGTGTTAAGGTTAGAATTAGTAAAAGGTTAAAGTATAATGTCAGAAATATCAATAGATTTCGAAGTACCATGACCTACAGTCGCCTGGATGAATAGAATACATCACGCATGGTACGATTTCTCTATAAATCGTCTGTGTAGTGACTGGGAGACATTCTTACAACACATAAGCGACAATTATCTAGCGCAATATCATGTTTGCAATGTTTTTTGGTGTATTTTTCAACGATTATGCAACTTTATTGCATCTGAATTTTGATTGGTCGTTCAAGGTCACCATGGTTTTAACTATGATGGTGTTTAACTTCGCCCTGTTTCTTTTGCACGCAGAACTGGTTGTTTTAAGCGAATTTCAGTTGCTCCAGCTGTTTAAAGTGTTCGGTATTTAGAGGCTTCTGGCAGATGATAGAGAACGTTTCAGTGACTTGAGTTTTTTATCGCACCTCTATTTAACGAAACTGGTAAGTGTTTCCAAGCAGGAATTATCATGTTCTTAGAGCAATGGCCACCATAATTGGTTGCATAGAGGCAGGCGGATTGAGAGATGGAATTAGAGGTGGATAGCCAAGGTACTTCGTCTTTTAGTTTCAGAGTCGGAGCCGGTCATGTGGAAAATATGAACTGTAGTTTTATGGGTATTTAACCTTCTTCGAATCAATTTTCTGTACTTGTTAGTTATTATTTCACTTGGTACATCCCCTTTGAATTGCAGTCGCATTCATATATAGAGGCTTCTTCTTAACAGATACGGAGGAATTCTTCTTTATTCTCTTGGCCATATGTTTCATGATGAACTCTTTTCAGAGTAGTTATTTGCAGTTAACGCGTCATATAGAACCTAAATTTCTTCCCTTCAATAGCATCTCCTAAATAAATGGCCCGGATCCTCTAGCTGGAGTGGTACAAAGCATTATGCACTAGACCATGAAAAGGAAGACAGTTTCAGGGTTCAAAACGACGGATTAGTGGGAACACTACTGCTCACTGTGAATTAAGATTCATATACAGTGCTGACGAGTCCTAAATAGGACGAAATCTGGCTCCTGGGTTACAGCGTTACTCTACTCACCACCAACCAAAATAGCTTTTAAGATTATCTATACAAACAATTAAAAACACTTAGTAAAATCCACTATGATGACAGCCATCCATTATAATTAAGCTCCCTACACTCTCATAAATACGCTGTGTGCACGAAAACTGTTTGTTATTAGGTGGTTGGAGGCAATTGGCCACAGGAAGCCTTGCTTTACCTAAGATTCGTGCTAGTTGGCACTCACCAGTCATCAGTCAGCAAGGAGTATCTGCAATCACCTTGAAGGAACTCATGTCCCTTCTGACATTTGAACCCGTGTCACCCACTGCTGCAGTTGGAGACGTTACCACTGTGTCTAGTCCTTTCTTTGGCGCAGACTGAATTCTATCATCAGTCAGGTTTGCATTGTGGCCACCATTCCAGCTGGCGCGCCATTACATTAATTACTAGTGTCCAATCAAAGGATCCAATACAGTTGGTCCTACAGGAGTTCAGTCGCTAGCCCGAATAGCTCAGTGGTGATGTCTCTGACTACACCACTGAGTGACGCGCGTTCGAATCTCAGAAGGGATATGAGTTGTTCCTCCAAAGCGACTGCAGATGCGCCTTGCTGATTGACTGGTGAGTGCCAACTAGCAGAAAACCTAGGTCAGGTAGGGCTTCCTGTGACCGATTGCCTCCAACCATCTAATATCGTCAAATCAATATGCACCATGATGGCGAGCTACCTAAAAATGGGGGTCACATTGCAAACTTGACTGATGACAGAATTCAGTCTGCACCGAAGATAGGACTACACAAATTACATTAGTTACTGACTAGTGTCCAAACAAAGTAAAACTGTTTTTTGTTAAGATGACAATATTAATCGAAGAGATGCTTTTCAAGCTGTATAATATATATATATATATATATATATATATATATATATACATATGGATAGGTCGAGTCGGGCAATTCGTTTTCGATGTATGAAAAACACCACTTTATAAACAAAACAGTTATTTTTCAAGAGTTGGTGTGTAGGGATTTGATTTGTTTACCTGTTTGGCCAATGATTGATATCAGTTAGAGAATCATTGAAAACCAGGGAGTACTGGACAGATGTTTCGTCAGCCTAGTTTGCGACCACTCATCACCAGTATATACTCCCACCGGGGTCCGAACCTAGGACCTTCCGGTTACAATCAAGCAAGCTTGTAGACCATTCAACCACTGAGACTTGATCCAATTGCCTGGTTATATTTAGCGCGACCATCAGCCAAATCATCAGCTAGTATCTGTCCTCACTCCCGACCACCATTTGGTTCACCGCAGTCTGGTCACAACTTCTCAATAGAACTACGAACTCCAGGCAACTTCGTCCTCTTGCAGTAAGTCAGTCAGTCAGCCACTAGCTCGCGCATCAGAATAATTTTCAAGAGTTGGTTTCTCCAGCACTCCATGCTGGTTTTCCAATGATTCTCTAACTGATATTGTGGTGAGAGCAAACTGCCAGCCAATTGGTAGACATTGATCTACGCTGATTGGTAGAAATTAATCTAGGCTGATTCAACGACCGATCACAGCTGACCTAGACGTGGACAAATATGATTCGCAGACAAGTGGCTCGCATTTCCGAGAAATATCGAAAACGAGAAAGCAGAAGACTGCGTTTGTTTGCAAACAACCAATCAGAAGACCGCCTTCTTTCTGCGGGCAGAGCCTTATTATTGTACGTAAAATACATATAAATACCTGTTGGTTTTCGTAATAAAACTGATCTGTTACCTGGCCCTTGTCTTCTGTTGTTACATTTGGTGTCGCTGCCTACCGACAAATGGAAAGCCTATGCCCTGCAGTTTTTGATGGAGATATATGGATCTTCGGGCAGGACTTCGAGGCTTCTTCGCAGTCGAGTGGCGTTCAAGATCTGTCAGCGATGAGGCTGCTACTTGGGACGCTGCTGGGAGGTCGGGAGAAAGCAGCATATGGAAGTGTGAGGCGAAATACCTACGAATGTGCGACAGGGTCAGGCAAACAGTTTCCAAAGTGGGAAGGACCATATATGGTCACGTTGAGATGGGGTTACGCAGACGCAATCGCAATGGTAAACACCGCTAAACAAGTGGACATCCGCAAGCGCCGAGATTCCAGACAGCAAGATAACAGAGCAAAGCTCCAAGAACCGAGAAGATCGAGCCGAATTCAGTCCAAGCTATTTGACGGGGGGACGAGTGTGGTGAGAGCAAGCTGCCAGCCAATTGGTAGACATTGATCTACGCTGATTGGTGGAAATTAATCTGGGCTGATTCAACAACCGATCACAGCTGACCTAGACATGGACAAATATGATTCGCAGACAAGTGGCTCGCATTTCCGAGAAATATCGAAAACGAGAAAGCAGAAGACTGCGTTTGTTTGCAAACAACCAATCAGAAGACCGCCTTCTTTCTGCGGGCAGAGCCTTATTATTGTACGTAAAATACATATAAATACCTGTTGGTTTTCGTAATAAAACTAATCTGTTGCCTGGCCCTTGTCTTCTGTTGTTACATTTGGTGTCGCTGCCTACCGACAAATGGAAAGCCTATGCCAATCAGAAGGCAGTGTTTGTCTGCTAACAATAATCTATAATAATGTACATGAAAATCTATAAATATTTGTTGATTTTCCTAATAAGCAATCTGTTGCCTGACTCTTTCCTTCTGTCGTTACACTAGTAACTAGTGTAATGTGTCTAGTCCTTTCTTTGGTGCAGACTGAGTTCTATCACATTAGTCAAGTTCGCGATGTGGCCACTATGCCACTAGGTGGCCGATCGCCTCCAACTATCTAATATCATCAAATCAATATGTACCGTGATGGTGAGCTACTTAGAATGACGGCCATAATGCAAAATTGACTGATGACAGAATTCAGTTTGCATCAAGCGAAGGACTAGACAAATCACACTAGTTACTAACTAGTGTCCAATCAAAGTAATTTAGAAAGAGGCTGTGTAACGAAGCAGTTCAACGTCAATCAAATAAAGCTAACCAGACAAGATAAGGAAGAGAGATGCGAGCGTGCAGACAAACACTCACACACACACGATAAGCAGAAGACCAAACAAAGATAATCATATTTAATTTGGTGGATGGTGACTAGCAGTGGAAACCAGTCAGGATGCACATTTCGTCCTATTTGGGACTCTTCAGCTGGATGTACCTGCATTCCCGCAGTGAGTGATGATGTTCCCACCACCGAGGCTCGGCTTGAACCCAGTCCTCATAGTTTCAAACGCCAGCCATAGCGTTATCCACTAGACCACTTGGGCCACGAGACCCACCCCGGCTCTTGTGCAACGGGTTATATTGATTAAATTGAATTTTTTCTTTTCAATTGAAAGATAATTATAATTATAATTTGGGATGAACTTTCTCACAATAACAAACAAAAAACGAGTAATCAGGATAGACACTTCAAATGTAAACTGTACACACAAATAAACATACAAAGAGAGACAGAGAGAGGGAAATAAATCTAACTGATTACATCATCATTATGAAAAGGAGGGAGAGTGTGAAAAAGACAGACAAAGAAAAACAAGAAAAAGAAAAGAGTAAAAGTCTGGAAAAACATGGAATGATGTTAATGCTGATCATGATGCAGATTTATGGTTTATAAACAAATTGTCCAGTTTTCAAACGTCTTTTTAATTCACACCAGAGAATTTCACGTTCTCTCAGCGTATTCTGTAGAACTGAACCATTCTCCAGGGCACGTCTTGATAAATAGGGGAGAACTTCTTCAATTGGACCATATGGAACATATTTGTAGACGGAGTAACCAGCTTGACCTTGAAGAAGAAGAAAAGAAATAAGTAACAAGTTATTTTTCTCAAAAGAATAGTTACTGAACAAAGAATACTCACATTTTCGATAACCTGTTCTTCATCAGGTTCTACAGTTTTCACATATACACATAATAGTGAGTGAATGAATTAGCGCTGTAATGACAGAAGACGAGGACCAGGCAACAGATCGTTTATTGAGAAAATCAAGAGATAGTTATCGAGTTTTATGTACATTATTGTCGTCGATAAAGCAACGTCTTCTGATTGGTTGTTTTCTTGCTCAAGGTTATTATTCTGTACTGCTTGTGACCGTTTCTTAGAAAGTTAAGCCATATATATCCGCGAATCGTGTTTGTACACGTTAAGTCTGCTGTGATTGGTTGTTGAGTTCCTCACAAGGTTAGGCTTTGTTCTTGTTTTTTTTCTCATGACTCCAATTCGGGAAGTAAACATTGACGTAAATTGTTGTGTACAACTTTGGCTTGCAGGCAGCTCTCACTACAGAGTTATTAACAACATCAATGTGAATAGTTCTTTTCAACTTTCTTAGTCAAATGCTTCCTGATGAATTCATCTGGATAGCTATTTTCAGTCAAGGTATCACATAGAATCCTTTGCTCATCTGCAGTTACCTCTTCTGAGCATATAACTCTAATCGTGTGGCTAAGGGTCCTTACTAAATTGAAAATAGCTATCCAGATAAATTCATCAGGAAACATATGATTAAGAAAGTTGAAGGGGACTATTCAATATCCGTGAAGGAGGAACCATTATACACATGACTGCAATTCAGTGGCAGCATATCTAGCGAAACAATTACAAAGAAGTTAAGAAGTTCAGTACAAAGAACTTTTAATGCTGGTAAACTACAAGTCTTATTTTTTGCACGATAGGTTATGATTCCACAATTGAAAGATTAAGTACCTAGACTAGCCACTACTTATTGTGTCGGTCGATCCAACTGCGCTTGTGGTGGAGCAAGTTATATTAGCCATCGCTCTAGGAAACTGATTTTCAGTGCTCCCTTGGTAGTAAAAACTACCATCAACAGTTCGATAATAGACCATCTAGTCCAAACAACCACAGAGCCAGACAGCATCTGACGGTTACCTTATAAATTGCCAAAAACATCCAGGTACCGAATACTCGAAACAGCAGAGGCTATCGCAATTCGCTTGAAACAGCGGGTGTTTTGTGTACAGAAAAAACAAGTTCAGCCAGCCACTAATACTGCTCTTGGCGGCCTTCAGTGGAGACTATAAATTCATGAATTTGTATCATTATCTTTCCTAATTTCTCTGTCTGACATTCAGTGTGTATTGTTATGCTAATGCTATCAAACTGTAGTCCATTGATATTATTATTTAAGCAACAATAATATTGTTAATAACACTCATTCATTCATACACCATTATGTATATATTTATGACTGTAGAACCTGATGAAGAGCAGGTTATCAAAAATGTGTATATTCTTTGTTCAGCGACCACTCTTTTAATAAGTTATTGTTAAAGTTGAAAAAAAAGAATACACTCAAATGAAAACTATTGCGCAACAAATTCGTTGAAGCTGCCTGATTGAATCAACGACTCGGCTACAACTGCAAACCGCAATAAATCATATTTTCTCTCATTCTTATTGTCTTAACCATTCTATTGAAAAGAAGAAAAGACCGGTGAGTCTCGAAGTCAATATTTATTAGGACAAACGCATTGTATGTACATAAATTTTAGTATACCTTATCTATAAGTCTTTATTTGCAAATTGGTCGAATATCAGCACATTCAACAGCTTGTTAGATTCTGCACAGTGTTGTAATGTTCTTCTCTTCTTCAACTGTTTTCTTTCTAGTGTCCAAAGCATATTGTTACTTTTTTGAATTCGTTTACTGATATACTACTTATATCTGATTATAAGTAGCACTCACCAGAGCATTATGTTTTTGAGACACAAAATGTACTCATGTACATTTTCAAGTTGCCTTTCAAACCTGTCGGTGAGAATTTCGCGGGGAGATGAAGGAAAAAATATCAAAAGGGATTGATGAAAAAGTCTGTGCATCAGACCTATAATACAGCATTGCGTCACATGATCTACTATAGACTGTTATACTTTGTTTGAAGATCGTGAATGAGGAGGAAATATTACGCTGCGAATTATGTCCACTGTGGAGGCATTTTCTTCGGAATAAAGCTATTTATTTATTTATTCAATTATTATTGCTAAAGATCAACTTTAATTTGTTTACAATGGAACACAGGGGGGCGTTTTCAAGCTAGAGCTTTGAAGTTCCTTCCGGTAACAGTGGTGTTTGTTTCTACTAGATAGGGTTGCTAGCATCACACCGAACCTTCCCTCTTTACTGATCTTATTTCCGAGTTAGCGAGGTTTAAGAGAGTGCGTCGGCCAGAGATCCAGTCCGGGAACACATGCGTGGTTGCCGACGCCTTTAATTTGTATAAAGTAAGGTTAATGGGTGAGTAATCTGATAAAGAGTTGCAGTAAACTATGATCACAGACAGATGCCCAGTACAGCCTACTAGTTTTCAATGGTTCTCTCAATATAGTCAGTTTGTGATCCGACTAACTAACTGACCTACTAGACTCTGAGTGAATACTAACTTATGTGCTGGCGAATCTATCCTAATCGCACGTCAACAATAGCAACAACACCACCGGGCCGCAAAGATGGAAGAGAAGACTGGCTTCGATAAGAGGGCTTTTACTGTATCCAAACAACAGTCAAAAAATGCTGATAGAGCTTCTATATATTTATATATATGTATGTTTAAACGACCTTGAGAAGCACTGATATCATTGATAAATGATGACAGTGAACAACCAATAGGGTTCCAAAGGTCATAAATAGGATGACAGAAAGTTAGGTCATAAATCAATATGTGGGGTGAGAAAAGTACAAACAGACATGTAAAAATTACATGTGGGAAATTAGGTTTGTATATATCACTGGCTGAGTGAGTTTCAACATAGAACTTTTCCACATAAGTGCAGCAGTTCAACGTACCACAGTTTATGTACCATACCAAGACAGACAAAAGAGATTCGAACGAACTATAATGAGCCGAAATCTACGGGATAAAGAATAGTGACATCGAAAAACATGACAGTTTTATTGGATCTGGAGAGATTACACAAAGAATGAATGCATTTACGCCAAGGACATGGATTTTGAACCATATTACCGTTAGTCATTTAACTCAAGTCATTGGATCTTAGCAATCTGAGGAACCTAACAAGTGGGGTAGTCTACACACCTCCCTAAGTGGGTGGATGGCTGGCTAGCTAGCTCAGACCACCACAAAGTGAAAGACTTCATGAGCTGATGGCAGGATTTTGTGGTCGAAAATCGACACCAAACAAATGTCTGCAAACTAATAGTTGAAAAGTACTAAAAAACAGGTATTTGATTTGGACAGTTCTGATTTAATAATAATAATAGTAGTAATAATAATAATCTGCTTTATTCCAAAAACAGCAGTACTTATAATACAGCATTGAAGTTTCACCATTTGTCGCTATGTTGAATCTAATTTACTCAAAGTATAAATAAAAGTAAGTACAGACACCTTCCCACATTTACAGCAAATATAAAATGAGAATAATAAATATAATAATAAGAACAATAGGTTTGTTTCAAACATCATTGTTGATATGGTATAGAAATCTTAGCATACTGTAGAATATTGAATCTAATGTTCTCTTGGCATAGCATAGTGAACGGAGCAACAAAAAATAAACAACTAATCCTTACAAAAAACCAACTTTAGAAAATTAATCTGATGCTCACTAGTGACTTGCTACAGGATGGAGTTTCCTGGAGTTCTCCAGTAAGAAGTCGTGACCAGTGAGGTCCATCCAGGTGTCACGTGTGAGGATGGATGTCCCACCGAAGACATTGGTTGGGGTCGCGCTAAACCACGAATTGGCAGAAGTTAGAATTCATCGGCTGGCCATTGGTTCGGGTCCCATCGGCTGAATGGTATACGAGTCAACTTGCCTTGTAACCGGAAGGTCGTGGGTTCGGACCTCCTGTGAGGTGGGTGCGTACTGCCGATGATTCCCTGCCTGGTTTTCAATGGTACTCTAACTGATATCATTCCGTGATCAACTCGTAAAAACAAAACTAATCCTTACAAACCAACTATAGAAAATTATTACAGAGAGCTTAAATGATGTTTACACTTATGAGAAAATAAACAAAAACAAAAAATGAGAGGATTACAAATATGAGAAGAATAATAACAATAAAGCTTGGTGGAATAAGGATGGAGAAAATTGTTTATTTGCTAGTGCAAAGAAGGCTAGTTAGTTAGTTAGTCCATGCCTAACACTATTTTCATCAGATAAAGTACGTGCCAAATATGGTATCATGGAATTTTTTTACGTGGACGTGCGCGCATAAAGTCTTTTGAAATGACTTCTTGTTCTGCCAGAGGAGACACAAGGCGGAAGCTACAGTTAAAGTGGATGCTTACAGTCTGACAAAATTCCTTTAGCAAATTTAATGCATAAAATCAAGTGATATAAGAATAAAACTTGGACACTGTGGTAGAGTGTAATTCCATTATGGGTAAATTTTATTTTGATAGAGTCTCACAGTGTTATACAGTAATATTTACTGATGACGTTTCGAGCACAATTTATTGCTCATAATCATATCAAGGTAATCACACAACTTCCTAAATTCATTTATATAGTTCCATTGTTTTTCACTTGATTTTCACTTGATTTGATTGGTAGTATTATTTTCCATATTTCGGGTATTAGTGATGATTCATTCCTATTGCACGTGTTGGGTGTAGATTCGATGAACAAAGATTCAGTAATCAACCTCTCTCTCCACCTACCTAGATTACTTTTAAGAATTTTAATCCTCTCCCACCATGCTGTTGTGTGGTTGTGTGTTAATGCATGCATTGCAATTGCCGAGCTTTTTTCTAAATTACTTATCTTCTCTGGGTCAACCATTCTTACCTTAGCTGAATTCTTATGTTCTGACAATCTGACTACTCCTGACCTACTAGTTTGACCTATGTAGTTGACCTCACAGTCATTGCAGGGTATTTTGTAAATTATATTATTTTGTCTAATTGGGTCCACTGGGTCCTTTAACCTACAGAGCTTGTCCCTGAGTGAGTTTGTAGGTTTAAATGCCATCCTAATTCCTGCTTTATTTAGAATCCTACGTAGGGTCTCAGATGTCCCTTCTTTATATGGTATAACTGTCGATGACTTATATTCTCTCTTATTTATGTTATTATTATTAGTTTCACAATTCTTTTTATTTTTCTCTTGGCGTTTTTCAATCTTCCTAATGAATTTTAGAGGATAGTTATCAATAGAAGGAACCTGAAAGAAACAACCTCTTTTACCTAAAGGCGGAACTGACGAGGATATCAAGGCGAGAATCGGAAAAGCAAGACAAGCTTTCACTACTCTCAAGTCTGTGTGGAGGTCAACAGCACTCAGCATCAAAATAAGATCCGGACTTTTAACTCCAATGTGAAGTCAGTGCTACTTCTTATATGGATCAGAGACTTGGAGCGTCATAAAGAGCATCTCAAACGAACTACACACCTTCATTAACAGTTGTCTTCGCTCAATACTCAAGATCAGATGGCTAGAGAAGGTCAGCAACAGGGATCTGTGGGAGCGAACGAACCAGGAACCGATTGTGCAACAAATAAGCAGGAAGAAATGGAAGTGGATTGGCTGGCCATACTCTGAGGAAACAAGCCATCAAGGGACATCACTAGACAAGCCATTGCTCGAGTGGAACCCGGCCGAATGGGAAGCGGCGAGTTGGTCGTCAGTGCGAGGGTGACTTGGAGGACGTCATGTGAAAAGGAGATGAAAACGTGTGGGCAAACTTGGAGCCAGGTGAGGACTGTAGCAGAGAACCGAACGCAATGGAGACTCACGTCTGAAGCCGTATGTTCCTCTAGGAATTGAAGGAAACAATAATAATAATAAATAATAATAGGGGATTGCAAAGATTTTGAGGCAGTCGTGTTTGAAATTTGAAGTATACGCTGAAGATGTTGCCTAGTAGGGGAGGGGGTGAACTTCGTAAATAAACCATTCTTCAGGTCAGAGAGCACAACTACATTAAAATCAACTGCCTGAGTTACAAATCTTCTCCATTATATCTAGATTGCAAAGAGTATATGCGTATGTAACTCACTCACTGCTTAATTCCAATCAGCATCCATCTGAATGACACATATATGCGCAAACTTTAGTAACTGATAAGATTCAAAGTCTTGTATTATTTGGCCAAATTAATTACCTATCTGAACGGAATTCCGGTGGTTTGAACTGATTTAGCTATCTGAGCTGTCATCATCTAGTTACATATTTGAAGAGTTCGGCTCTAAAACGAGCCAAGAAACTGTCATGGTTTTAGATTACTTCGATCTGGTTGATATGAGTGGTACTCAACTACTCATATCAGTCAGCTAGTAGTAGTACATAGCATCGTGAAATTATTAGGCTCGCTTTCTTGATTACCAATTATTGTATCAAGCAGATTATATATTGGTTGCAGGATTTCATTATGAGCTGAAATCGGTTAGAGAACTATTGGAAAACCAGTTGGGAGTACTGGACAGCTGTCTCGTCCTATTTTGGGGCTCTTCAACAATACGCACCTATCTGGGGTAGAATCCAGAACCTTCCGGTACAAGGAAAGCTCACAAACCATTGAGCCACTGGGCATGTGCCACTGAAGAGTCCCAGACTAGGGCGAAATGGCTGTCCAATACTCTCTTCTAAGTTTTCCAATCGGTTATCTGTCCGATATCAGCTGTTGATGAAGTCCTGTAGGCAATCAAATCAATGATACACTGTGATCTGAACAATTTCGGAAACTATAGAGTATTATTGTTGGTATTATATGGTTGGAGGCCGTTTGACCAAAGGAAGCCCTACCTGACCTAGGTTTCGGGGTTGTTGGCATTCACCAGTCATCAGCAAGGCGTATCTACAAGCTTGAAGGAACCCACATCACCCAAAATGCTTCAGTCAAATACGTTACCACTGAGGAGCTATTCAGGCTCGAGTGATTGACCTCCTATAAGACTGTATTTGGTACTTTGATTGTGTAATATGCGTCTAGTCCTTAGTATGGTTTAGACTGAATTCTATCATAAGTCAAGTTTGCGCAATGTGTCCACCATGCCACTAGGTACGTGGCTCACTATCACGATGCACTACACTGTGAATTATTGATATTAATAGGTGGTTGGAGACAATCGGCCATAGGAAGCTTTGGACCTAGGTGAAGTATTATCACCTTGACCTGTGTAAATTGCTAATCACGAATTTTATTCACAATGGATAGTTGAATAGTAATTTATCTGCCAAGCACTTCAGAGTATTCCTCATCAGAAATATGGTTGAATAGAAACACATCGAATAAGTTCATCCCCGGATAGTTTAGCCATTCAAACACACACTTTTTCTCTTTGAGAATTTTTTGAGTGAAAGAAAGTAAATGATACAGCGTTGCAGAGATAAATGGGAGACGTGAGTGAAAGGAATACAAAGAAATACAAAATGAAGGAGGGCGAGAAGTAGCACAACACGGAAGACCTGTGTAAATGGTGCCTTGAAGATAAGGTGTACAATATAATTTGGATATATAGAGATACCAAATTTTTTAAATAAACATTCCTTTACCAAGTATTTCGTCTTCGCCACAATGGATAAGATTTTATTTTGATAAAATCACACAGTGTCTGTTGCACAGTATTATTAACTGATGACAACGTTTCAAGCACAAACCATTGCCGCCCATAATCATATCAAGGCACCCACTCACACAACTTCTTTCCTTCATTTATATACATGTGTGGAATTGACCAGATATTGGAATAAAAATCAATATAGGATAATGTACATTAAGAAATAATAATAATATGAGTGTTATCAATCAAATACAATCAGATGGGAAATAAGACTGTTAAAGCAGGCTTAGTTGAGTGTCTAACAAACCGAGCCATAGCACTAAGTAGCACAAGAAAAGACCTAAATGATGAAATAAAACAGATAGAAGAGGCGTTGGAATCAAATAACTATCCTATAAAATTCATTAGGAAGATCAGAAAGGGTCAAAAGCAAAATAAAAATAATTGTGAAACTAGTAATGATAACATAAATAATAAAGAATATAAGTCATCCACTGTTATACCATATAAGGGGGGGGGGACATCTGAGACCCACCCTAAGTAGGATTCTGAATAAACCAGGAATTAGAGTGACATTCAAACCTACAAACTCACTGCGATAGGACAAGCTCTGTAAGTTAAAGACTCTGTAGGTTGACCCAATTAAACGAAATAATATAATTTACAAAATACCCTGCAATGACTGTGAGTTAAGTCAACTATATAGGTCAGACTAGTAAGCTGGCGGTAGTCAGATTGTCGGAACATAAGAATTTCGCTAAGGTAAGAATGATTGACCCCACACAATAGAGTGGGAGAGGGTCAAGATTCTAAGAAGTAATCTATGTAGGTGGAGAGAGAGAGATTAATTACTGAATCCTGTCTGGTCCATCGAGTCTACACCCAACACAACACATGCAACAGAAATGACTCAATGCAAATACCAGAAATATGGAAGATATTATTACCACCAATCAGTCAGTCAAATCAGAGAAGAGGATAATAAATAATCTCAAAATTCTATTTCAATTCACATTCATTAATTACAACATTCTAACAAGTTACTTATTTATTTATTTAACTATAAAAACATTCGTCTTATTTCCCATCTGATTGTAATTGATCAATAACACTCATATTATTATTATTTCTGAATGTACTTTATCTTATACTGATTTTTATTCATCCATTCCACTCATGTATATAAATGAAGGAAAAGGTTGTGTGAGTGAGTGAGTAACTTGATATGATTATGAGTGGCAATGATAAATTGTGCTCAAAGCGTGGTCCTCAGTTGATATTACTATATAACACTGTGTGATTTATCAAAATAAAATCTTATCCATAATGGAGTTATAGTCTACCACGGCAGTGCCCAAGTTTCATACTTATATTTCGTCTTCTACCGTTTCTCAGCAGTACTTACTAACTAACTAGATCAAAGTGCTTTGAACATCGCATGGCCATTTCGATAGTTCAGAGTGGACCTCAGTCAGCAGCGGTGCATCCCGGTTGGACTCAGTTAGCTGCTCAAAGAGCCGAATCACTTCAAACTACCCGCGGCAAAGGGGCTATCCAGCCTAACTCGGGTGAAACTGGTAAAACACCATAAATCAAATGCCCAATTAACACACATACACACACAGTTCGAGAAACAGATTATTCACTTACTTAGTGTAAAGCTGATTTGATCACACATTCCAAGTAATTGACCGAAACAAATAACTTTATCTTCTGGTTTTACATTATATTCTTGCATCCTAGAAAACAGAAAAGAAAAACAACAACAAGATAGATAGTTAGGTAGGTAAAATGTGAATGACTTTCAGGTTCTATAGGAATAAGAAAAAAAAAAAAACAGAATATTTCATCGTTGAAATTGAGGAATAAAGTCAGAGATTATTTTTAGTCTAAAAAATTACACCAAGTGATTCAGCAAAGAGACTTTTTTCAACAACGAATTTATTATCATGCTGTGCAATCGCACATGTATGCTGTTTTTAAGAAAAAATCATATCCCGTGAGGAAATTTAAACAAAGGTGTGAATACATAAGGTAATAATATTAATGATATGAGATGCAATTTAAAACAATTGTGATAATAATCATATAGCAAAAATATTCATTCAGACATCTATAAAAAGAAAAAATAATTGAGCGAGCAAAGAATATCCTCTCCGATAATTTCCTCTTCTGGCTCTACAATTTCATACATAGATATGTTTATATACACAGAATATTCTAGATTAGTAGTCAATAACAATATTAGTGTTTTTTTCAATTATATCGATTTGTAAAGTAAGATTACGATGGAATTACAGTTCACTAAAGATGATGAAATTATAATAATAATAAAGATGTAATAGCAAAGAGAATATCAACGAAAATTAGGAAATTTCTACAAAAATTGAGGATCATTCAAACCTAGATGGCCAAGGAAAGGACAATGTCTGAACTAGCTTCTTTTGGACGCACAAATTAGGCCTCTTGATGTGGATCCCAACATCCAGCCTCAACAATATTTAGTAGTCGAACTCTTAAGGCAAAATTGAGATTCGTTGGTATGCGGTAAATGACTTTGAAAGTCTGGTTAACATCAATCTTGTGTTCTGTATCCATAAGATAAAATAGAATATCGCTACGAATAGATTTTGTCTGTCCTTTACTTAACCACTGTGCAGGGTGATGTTTGGAAATTCGATGAGAAACACACCTAATTGTACTGCCTATGTAACTGGCTCCACAGGAGCAGTTAAATTGGTATATACACATAGAAGAGGCGAAATTAGGCAGTTTGTCTTTTATTCCCGAACGCAGAAGAGGAGTGGTTTTAAAGATACACTGTAATTCAGCAGCAGTAATATTGTTACTGACTACTATTCGGTGAATATTCTGTGTATATAAACATGCATATATAATTGTAGAGCCGGAAGAGGAATTTATCGAAAAGAATATTCTTTGCTCGATTATTTTGTGTTTTATAATAATCATAGTTGAATATCAAGTGTCACGTGGGCAGACAATTAATGTCATATATATATATAGAATAATTCAAAAGATGTAAAGACGTTAGAAGGGATTACGAAATCATAAGGTTAGTAGGCAAATAAGAACATTGCATAACATGGTGTGAAATTTGATAAGATAGAATTCAACATTGTAAACACAACTTTTGATTTTCGAAAGACAAGTGCGACAAGTGAAATATTACCGGAAACTGTTCAAAGTGAGAATAACAATAGTTCATGAAAAAACCCCATTCGAACATTAATACAGAGGAGACCAGTAGTTCCAGTGAAGAGTCACTTTTCGGCGGCGAATTCCTTTCCACAGCTGTACAATCGCAAATAATATACGTAGGTTATTTTTTTATGTGTGTGTATATGAAATTTGTCAGAAGAAAATACAATTATTTTCGTGGAGTTACGTAGTACAAAAGGCGTCCAGAAGAATTGGATGTTGATATAAGAGGGTAGTGTGACAAAAGTGATGAGTCGTGTCACAAACGATTGTTGAAGAAGAGTTGCGTAATAACAGGAATAGTTTGATGAAAGAGTTGTGCCCAGGGTGCACATGGGAACAGAATTAAATATGGAATTACGTAGGAATTTCAAGTAGTTAGAAAAGAGACAAGCAGACAAATTTAATGCACACACACACACATACAAAATAACCTATGTATATTTGCGAGTGTACAGCTGTGAAAATGAATTTGCTGAAAAGACACTCTTCGCTGAACTACTGGTCTTCTCTCTAATAATAATAATAATAGCAATGTGATGGTGTGATACAGACACTGTATTCCAACGCAATGAATGCTATTCTCACATATTCCCACAGTTCAATACAGCATTAGCAACAGAGTACGATATATCTATTTCAACATTCTATTTCATGTCGTTTAATGTAAACGAAAATCACATGCTCAATGACTGGCTAGAGAATATAAAAGTATATATTTTATTTTATTTTTGGCTATATATATATATATATATATATATATATATATATATATATAGCGGTTCGATCACTTGAAAATATACCTTGCCTAGTGAGAAGTCGTGACCAGTAGGGTGCAGCAGGTCGGGTGTGAGGACAAATACTCGCCACAGCCATGACATTGGCTAGGGGTCGCGCTATGTCGTGAATTGCAGAAGTTAGAATTCATGGGATGGCCATTGGATCGGCGGGTCCCAGTGGCTCAGTGGTCTACGAGCTCTCTGGCTTGTAACTAGAAGGTCCTGGGTTCGAATCCCAGTCGGTGCGTACTGTTGAAGAGTCCCAAACTAGGTTGACGAAACAGCTGTCCAGTACTCCCAGGTTTTCCAATGGTTCTCTAACTAATGTCAGCTAATGATGAAAATCCTGTAACCAATCAAATCCCTACAAACCAACACTTGAATACCCTGCCTTCTGTTGTTACAGTGACAATTGACGCAATAAGCGAAGGGTATACAAATTGAACAAACAAAAAGAAAATAAGTAGAACGCAAATATGTATGGGGATTTTTATACTTTAGCATAGACAGACTTAAGATCATGAGAGTTGGAGGAGTTGAACGAAAGTTTTCTGTGTACAGAGATCTGGCTTCTCTATTTCTATGGCCAAAGCTCCAGCAATACGGATGAATTGGGTACGTAATGATTTAAGCAAATTATTTTTCGCATTGTAGATAACTTTAAAGTAAGAGGCGGCAGAGGTAGGTTGATCAGTATCGACCAGATGTTCAATGATAGCGTTTCTTATAGCTCCGCTTCCATCTCTTCGTAACCACCATGCAGGATAGTGTTGCCGCTATTATTACTATTCTCACTTTGAACTGTCCTCGGTATTAATTCACTTGTCAATCAAAATTCACTATCTGTAAAAAAGAAACCCCTTTATATACGACTACAATTCAAGGGCGATAAACCAAGTGAGTTAATTACAAAGAAATTAAGAAAAGCAGTTCAAAGGACTTTTAATGCTGGCGAACTACACATCTTATTCTCTACACGACCAATGGTGCTACCTCGACTGAAAGATGAAGTACCTAGACTAGCCACTTCAAATTGTATTTATCAATTCAACTGCGCTTGTGGAGCGAGTTATGTTGGCCGTTGCTCTAAGAACTTGATTTTTCGTGCTCTCTCGGGAACATCTCCCACTATGGCTAAGTAAAGGTGTAGTTAAAACTATTAACAGCTCGATATTAGACCATCTGGTGTAAACCGGCCACAAAGCCAACCAGCGTGGAAGAATCCTTCTCTATCATATACCGGGTGCCTAACAAACTACCAAAATCCTCGAAGCACCGCTTACTCCAAACAGCGGAGGCTATTGCAATTCGCCTCAAACAACCAGTGCTCTGTGTACAAAAGAAGCAAGTCCAGCTAGCCACTACTACTGCCCTGGCTGGCCTTCAGTAGAGACTATAAACTCATGAATTTGCACTATTACCTTTCCTAATTCTTCTGACATTCAGCTTATTTTATGTTGACGCTGTTCAGCTGTAATCTATCAATATTATTGATTCGATGTTATTTAGACAGTAACATTAGTGTTGTTCATGACACTAATTCATTCATTCATTATAATGTATATATAATTGTAGAACCTGATGATGAATTTATCGAAAAGAGTTCTCTTTGTTCCCTGTCTATTCTTTTGAAAATTTTAATGGGCATTTTTAATCAATCAAAATTCAAAATTTTTTTTTGCAATGGTGAGTTCTATCTTATCGAATTTCACACAATGTTATGATGTAAAGTCTTAATTTTCCTATATATGTACTACTGATAAATCTTATTAGTAGCACACGCTACACAGGTAGTATATGAAGGCGAATGTGTATTTCATGAGGTCAAGCATTTGCCCAATTTTCAAAAGAATAGACAGGGAACAAAGAGTATTCTTTTCGATAAATTCATCATCAGGTTCTACAATTATATATACATTATAATGAATGAATGAATTAGTGTCATGAACAACACTAATGTTACTGTCTAAATAACATCGAATCAATAATATTGATAGATTACAGCTGAACAGCGTCAACATAAAATAAGCTGAATGTCAGAAGAATTAGGAAAGGTAATAGTGCAAATTCATGAGTTTATAGTCTCTACTGAAGGCCAGCCAGGGCAGTAGTAGTGGCTAGCTGGACTTGCTTCTTTTGTACACAGAGCACTGGTTGTTTGAGGCGAATTGCAATAGCCTCCGCTGTTTGGAGTAAGCGGTGCTTCGAGGATTTTGGTAGTTTGTTAGGCACCCGGTATATGATAGAGAAGGATTCTTCCACGCTGGTTGGCTTTGTGGCCGGTTTACACCAGATGGTCTAATATCGAGCTGTTAATAGTTTTAACTACACCTTTACTTAGCCATAGTGGGAGATGTTCCCGAGAGAGCACGAAAAATCAAGTTCCTAGAGCAACGGCCAACATAACTCGCTCCACAAGCGCAGTTGAATTGATAAATACAATTTGAAGTGGCTAGTCTAGGTACTTCATCTTTCAGTCGAGGTAGCACCATTGGTCGTGTAGAGAATAAGACGTGTAGTTCGCCAGCATTGTTGATAAAGACTGGCGCATATTCAATAGCAAACACAGTTCAGTAAACAAAGCATCTTCTAGACTACGGATGAATAACATTAACGTTGTCAGTAGACGGGGTTTCAATTAAACAGGCGTGTCCATTTAGAATATATTTATATGTATAAACCCAGTCTCTTTGCACAGAAAGAATTTGTGATTGCTTTGAACCTACTGCAAGATTAGTATG